TTAATTTCTCTATCGAGTAAAAGTTATATCGCGATACATATCGTTATCGTTCTATCGCCCAGCTCTAGGGTATAGTCTTAAAGCAGGGGTGGGGGAACGCCAGGCCTCTAGGGCCGGTGTCCTGCAGGTTTTAGATGTGTCCTTGATCCAACCCAGCTGATTGAAATGACTAAATTACCCACTCAATATGTCTTGAAGTAATCATTTGATTCAGGTGTATTGACCCAGGGTGATATTTAAAACCTGCAGAACACTGGCCCTTGAGGCCTAGAGTTCCACACCCCTGTCTTAAAGTCTTGCCAAATTCTCTAAAATTTTGTAGCACTTTGTAGCATCCTGGTTTTATTTTCTGATGTGAAATGTTTCTTCTCTTTCAGAGTCGACTTCAACGTTCCAATGAAGGACAAGGCGATCACAAACAACCAGAGGTAGCGTCTATCTTATTCTGAATCTTTTCAGTCTGTTATGTGTTAAGCAGCTGGGATTTCTAGAAGAGGAGTAGCAGATTTCGATTTGCTGAGAGCCTCCCTTGGAAATGAAAACTGAAAAAATATGTAGTTTCCTAGCATGCTTCAATTCTGTTAAAACTCCATACATCGATGTCAAGATCTCACTGGCCTTGATTTTTGACAAACGTAACTGTAGTCTTTTAACAGAAAAGGGAAGAATGTAACATTCCTAAAAGCAAGAACATTAATATTAAGTTGGAGTAAGTGTGACTTGATTCTTTTTTTCTAAACACTCCTGTTCACTCGTGTGTTGCCTTCAGGATCAAGGCAGCCGTCCCCAGCATCCAGCATTGCCTGGATCATGGAGCCAAGTCTGTGGTGCTGATGAGTCACCTGGGCCGTCCTGACGGAAACGCCATGCCTGAGAAATACTCCCTGGAGCCCGTCGCTGCAGAGCTCAAGACCCTCCTAGGGAGGTGAGATGATGGCCTGAATAAGTGGTGTTTGTTAACAAGGGCAGAGGCGATGTCCTTGTTATGGTTGAAATATTCTGGTATTAGTAAGAAAGATATTAACGCTGTTTTTGGTTGCTTCTAGCAAAGGCAGATTTGTTTCGTTTAAAATGTATATATCTGTCTATCTATACACTAAAGAAGAGAAGATCTGCTCTAAGAACCAATCATAATCACTCACTAATTCTGTGACTGTAGGGACGTCACCTTCCTGAAGGACTGTGTGGGCCCTGAGGTGGAAGCTGCCTGTGCTGACCCCACCTCTGGATCCGTCATCCTGCTGGAGAACCTCCGCTTCCACGTTGCCGAGGAGGGCAAAGGGAAGGACCCCTCTGGGAACAAGGTGAGCTTCTGAGATTTGAGTGTTAACGGTGGTTAGACTCAGCAGCGTTATGTGTGGTTTGGGCTTCAGTTTTTGTCTTTTGTTTTTTTGTTTTGTTTTTTTTGTGTGTGTCAGTTTTCCTAAAGACAGAATATTGGTCTGTCATCTAAGACTACAGTCATATTAGAAAATTGAATATTTAGTCTCTGAACTGCCATCGGTGTGAAGAAGAGCACGATAACTTACAGCTGCAATCAAGTTCCTGTTATTTTCAGAACTTGCATGTAGTCCTACAGTTTGTCTCTTTACTTCCAGTCCTCTACTTTTTTCTTTTTGCCTCAATCTAAAAGAAGTTGAACATTAACCTCTCACAACACACTGAAGTGAATTTTTCAGAGATTGAAATAATGTAGTTTGGCCAACTTGGTTTTTCTCTATTTGCATCACATGGCAATTTGCTGCATCACAAATGTAACTGAGCAAGTTGTTATTTGGCAACCAAGCCGTACACGGAGGACAGACCAGGCTCTATCCACGAACATGCTGCAGTTGAATTTTCGAGCACAAAAGACACGGAGAATGAGAGCGTCAGTGCGAAAGGGAATGTGGCCCAATCATTTTGTCAACATAATCACTGGAAGGCAAAATTGTATTTGAAAATATGACCCAGGCCTCAGACAAAGGGGTCTTTTTATAGTTTAAACAAAAGTGTGTTCTATATTTTACACACTTTCAATAAGACCTATAAAGATGCAAAGTGAAGCAGAAAAATGGCCAACACCTTGTCGGTTCAGCAGATTTTCTTTGTGCTCGGTCACATGGAGGAAGACTCAGTCACTCCAGCTGCAGCTTCTCCTGAAATTGCTGCATCACCATCTGACATCACAGTGCTGGTGCAGAGACTGTTTTGTAGCACACTGTTAACCGCACTATGTTCGTAGGATAAATGAACTGTGAAAATGTGACTAAACTTTTCTAAAAATCCCTAATGATGCAACACACACAATAATAGGCTTTCATTTACCTATTTAAGATAAATTTGGTCATTTGTGTTTTTATTGAGATTCATATTCGTCTACTCATAAGCCATTTATGGTGTGGTTTAGTAAGGCTGCTGTAGGAGCAATTTCCCATCTCTGGGATAAATAGTCTGGTTAGAGAATGCCTGGTCGCACTCCCTAATCTCCTCCTTTATGCTGAGGCATAAATATTGTAGCATATTCAAACTCACAGACAGACGCTGTCTGAAATGAGCATCGGTCTGAGCCGTGGCCGAGCACCACTTTTGACCTGTTGACATTTATCTTGAAGGTCGGTGGGCTTTTCCTGTCCTGTGAAGCCTCGTTGGTATGCTGGTTGGTTTCTACTGTACCGCTGTAGTGTATCACACCACGGTCTCTTTATTTTTAGCTCATTATAAAAACATGAAATGGTCTCACTTTCTCACTTAAATGGGCGCTCCACTGCTTTTTACACAAGGATCGGTTTGTCACCAGGAGGAGGACTCGGCCTGTGAAACTGTAAAGTGTTTTCTGTAGCTGTGAAAGTTCATCAGGGTTATTTCAGCTTGGAGGTCTGGCTATTAAAAGCATCACTGTGTCGAACTATGGGGGAAGATCCATATTTAGTTTTACCCAGTTTATTTTTTGGCCTGAAGCAAGTAGTTAGTCTGGTCAAGTAATGGAAAACTAATCTCCAGCTATTCAATTATTTTACAAAAATTGCTAACTTCTGTTGGTTTCTGAAGCTCATACTCTTTGGAGGGGGGTAAAAGTTTAAAGCCTGAAACCTGTCCCTTGGAAAGAAGTGACCTGGGCTCCCTGGCATTTGGTCGGCCCCTAAAGAGCTCTCTTGACCTTTTCTCTGCCTACAGTCTCACAGTTGTGACCTTTCCCTGTTAAAGTGCATCAGAAACCTGACCCACAATGTACTGACTGAATCCTGATGGATAAACGGAGTTCATATTGACAGCAGTCCGATTATACCTGGACACAAAACTGAGTTGAGCTTGGAGATATTTGGGTATGTAGGTGTTGCCCTCTGCTCATTGGTGGCAGGTAGATTAGCTTTTATTTGTATGTGGACAGTGGAACTGGATTGGAGCTGAAACAAGGAAAAACTGCTTTGAGATCAGGATGATGACACATGCAGCATCAGTTCACAGGACTTAAACGAGTCCCTGAATTTAGGCCAACAGTCTTGTTGAAGTAAAATGGATGAACTCTTGCTTTTGCACTTTGCAGCCTTAACAAATGGTGTTTGTCTTGTCTTGTCTTGTCTTTCCAGACGAAGGCAACCCAGGAGCAGATTGACTCCTTCAGAGCGTCTCTGTCCAAACTGGGAGACGTTTACGTCAACGATGCCTTTGGGACGGCTCACAGAGCCCACAGGTGAGCGCCACGCAGGTCAGGTGGATACAGTGATGATCACTAGGTGAAATCTGCGGTCTCAAAGCAGATGGTCTTTGAGAAGTTTCAATTTGATTAGTTTAATTAAATGGTATAATTCAGTAGTTTGTAACTTCTTCATCCTCGTCGCTGTTAGCTCCATGGTGGGAGTGAATCTGCCTCAGAAGGCAGCTGGTTTCCTCATGAAGAAGGAGCTCGACTACTTCGCCATGGCTCTGGAAAAACCTCAGAGGCCCTTCCTGGCTATCCTCGGAGGGTGAGAACATCTCTTTTTAACAGATGAAGTTTGAAAATGTTGGCTGGACAATATAAAAAAACTACGCAGAGCATGGTCACTAGTTCTGATTTGTGTCCACTTTAGACATTATTTTCTTCTGCTCAGTTCTTTAGGAAGGGTCACAGGGTGTCCAGCCAGGAATAGAGGAAAAGCTCATTATATTGTCTGTGGTGTCACTGTGCACTGCTTTATTCAAGGCTCAGTGAGCAGGCAGATCCAGGATTAAGATTTAAGTTGGTTTTGATTTATACTCTGACCCCTGATTTATGGTCACAAATATTTGGTGGTCAACAAGCAAAATTTTATGTATGTTTTAAACCTTTTATCATGTGTCTGCAAATTATGCTCAGAAAGAAAACTGCCCATTAACCTTCTGTGCACAGAAGTAAAACTACAGTTTCCATCATTAAGTGAGGACTTTCAAAATAAACAACTTTATTTTCTAACAGTTGCTAATCGTGTCAAAGTCTTGTATAAGGTAACCATTAGAATGTATTTCTATTTAATTGTATAGAAATTGCTTCTATACAGTGAGAATAAGAGCTGCTTCTCAGGAATAATGACTTGATCAACAGTTTTAGTGAGACTGTGGCACTGTTTCCTGTAGCTTTGTACCTCTGTCCTGCCGTGGTTTCATAACCCTTAACTTGCTTGGTCTGCTGCCAGCCAGATGTGGCAACATGCCAGAGTACATTGTGCAACAATTGCTGGCAGTCGGTGTCGACTGCTGCAGCCAATCAGCTCCTCTGTGAGGATGCTGACCATTAGTGTGTAAATGATCTGCGTCGACTGCTGTTGTTAAACCCCTGACTTACAACATTACACCTGCAACAGGAGACTGCAGACTTTTCTGCAGCTCAAAGTCATCAGCGGTGAGGTTAATGGTACAGAGGTGCAGATAAATCGATTAGCAGCTTCGCTTTCTGATTTCACTGACATAATTCTTTCTAATAACTACAGTTGAAATGTAATAACAGTGCAGATCTATTGATAAGGGTTTGGTATAATGACAGAAGGTTGTGTTCGAATATTGGAATAAAAAAACAACAACAAAAACCAGATTATTCAACCATTTCTTGTCATTGATGGTTTTCCTGCACTGTTCTGTGTGGTGCAATACAATATAATATCTAAGCAGCTCCATGAGCCAAGATTTAACAATAATGGAGAAATAATGCACTGCTAAAAGACTTTGAACTACTAAAGTTTGTCTCAGTGTAACTAGATACTACTTTACAAAGAAGAGTTTCATTCAAAGCCAAAGACTACAGCAGCTGTCACGAAGCCTACATGAAACCCTTAAAGCATAAAGGAAGAAGAGGAGGCCCTCACAGAGAGCCAGTGAATATTTTTGCTTGAAATGCCTAATCTTATATAATCAAAGACTTAATTGAATTATTGACTCACAGAACTTTGCATTAGGAGGCAGTGGGTTCACCAGATGCCCTGCGGCGAAAGACTCTGCAGTTTTGATAAAGAGAGAAAATCTAAGGATGAAATTTGACTATGACATCTTAACTAATAAAATAAACCAGTTTTTAGCTCCTGTATGTACAGATGAGTGAATTTCAGGATTGTCACTGTTTGTCTGTCCTGACGTGTTTTCTCCGTTTCAGAGCAAAGGTGAAAGATAAGATCCAGCTGATCAACAACATGTTGGATAAGGTTGATGAGATGATCATCGGGGGTGGCATGGCTTTCACCTTCCTCAAAGTCCTCAACAACATGGAGGTGAGGAGGAGGATGCGTCGCCAAAGCAATTCGAAAATCAAACCGTTAAAAATGGTGGCTCAAATGCCTTCACCTGATGGAGGTCGCCTGCTCTGTGCCTCAGAAAGCTTTGAGCTTCAGCTCATTGTTTAGCTGTACATAGTTTGCATTTACACTTGCTCCCCTCGTGCTGGATGAACCTCCCAAAAAAGACGACTCGGTTAAAAAAAACAAATCGCATACAACACACTATTAAGTTAAAACAGTGATGCTTTTTGAGTCTTGAGTGGATTTGTTTCTTAGTTTTCCATGAGGATTCATGTTTTAACCTCAGTGTTCAGCCTCAGGTAGATTAATAAAATAAAATTTCTCCTTCTAATGGAGCTCACACTTGGACTTTTGTAGTGACGAAATGGTCTTGTGAAACAGTTTTGTTTGCATCACTGCAGAGACCGAAAGTCACGATCGTGACCTAAATTTGACTTCTTGACAAGCAGATTTTATTCAGTTTCCTCCTCCTGGTTTTATTTGCCCAGTTTATGAAATGAATAGCTACCACAAACCCAGTAATGGTGATAAGTTGCTGCCTGCCTGGGCAAAAAGATTCCCAATCTCACTAAGCTCACAGTTGAACTATGAGGCAAGAGCAGAGGTATGAAGACAGAGTGGGTGTGAGGTGAAAGAAGCTGGAGCTCTTAAAAATGACAGGCCGTTACTTATTGTGATTTGTGCCTCAATGCAAACAGTTACAGGTGCAGCTATAAAATTCTTATCCCGGTCATTTGTGACATTGCATAACTTTTTAGATTTAGTAAACTTGGAAACTACAAAAAGGTGAGGTTATTTTGCACCACAATGGGCAAATCTGCCCTGTGAAATGGGCATCCTCAGACTGTTCCTGTTTGAGCGGTAAATGTTGTGTTGTGTACATTCCTAAACGATCTTGATCCATCTGAGGCTGCAAGATATCAGAAAGCTGTTGTCACTTCCCTTTAAATGGCACTGAGCGTCTCCACTAGAAATGACACAAACTTGCTCAACACATGAAGGGTGTGAAGTAAAATAAGTTTCAGCATCAGCTTAACCCGACAGTTTTCATCTCGTGGGGTAGCTTCGGTGCAACTTCCAAACATTAAGTAGGACTTGAACACAAAACCTCTTTGAGACTCTTATAGAAGAAAACCCAAAATATGAATCATGCAGTGATAAATGTCTGCAGGTTTGAGTAAATGTTTTTTCTTCTTGCAGTCCTGTCTGTATCATAAAGAAACATCAGATTTCAGAGGGCTGTATATTTATTTTTTTTAAGTAATGGTCATGGAAGTTTACGGTAAATCTTAAAATATATAGCTGAATATAAAGTTTTAGATGCAAAACTTAGGATGTTCAATGTGTCCCCATTCTGAATACTCTTCGTATATAGTTCCTCAGATTTACTTGTTTTTAATTGTGTCTTTGCTGGTTTCGTGTAAGTCACAAATCTTTTCTCCCGTCCTCCTGCTCCTGTCAGATCGGTACCTCCCTGTATGACGAGGAGGGCGCCGGCATCGTCAAAGACCTGATGGCCAAAGCTGAGAAGAACAAAGTCAAGATCACGCTGCCCGTCGACTTCGTCACTGCTGACAAGTTCGACGAACATGCCGCCACCGGTACTGCAACAGTTGCTGCTGGCATCCCCGCCGGCTGGATGGTGAGAAAGGACAAGTTATTTTAATTTAAAACGACTTAATGGACTATGAAGAAAGGTTAAGCATTCTTTCCTCCTCTGCAGGGTCTGGACTGTGGACCCGAGAGCTCTAAGGCCTACGCAGAGGCGGTCGGCAGGGCCAAGCAGATCGTGTGGAACGGTCCGGTCGGTGTGTTCGAGTGGGACAACTTCGCCAAAGGGACGAAGAACCTGATGGACAAAGTGGTCGAGGTGACCAAATCTGGCTGCATCACAATCATCGGTAAGAAAGAGGAGACGAATGGGGGAGCGTGTTCCTTAGTTTCACTCAGTTTCATCCCTCGCTCATCACAAGGAGATTTTACTGTGATTTATTTGTAGTCTGGTTTATGGGACACAAGTGTTTACTGGAGACACACAGGGACTCGTGCTGCATTCAAGAACATTACGTTTACTTATAGTGCAGCTTTACAGTTCGGACTTTTTTTTTTTATTTTATTTTATTTTTTTAAATCATTCAGGTTCAGTTCCATATTTATTTTTTTATATTTTGTTCTTTTACTACTGACAGATCGTAATAAACAAAATGTTTGAGTATGCAAAGCTGAGGAGAAAAGCTTTGTTTCCTGCCTCTCTGCACCTTTTAAACTGTCAGATAAAAGCAGATCTTTCATAATGAGGTGTGATCTTACATCTGGTTTGTTTGCTGTACAAACAGTAGCACCACATGTGCAGTTAGTCCAAAAATGAGTCATTTATGATGGTTTTACTGCAGCCATGTCACCTTCTTAATAACATTCAGTGATCGTAAATGTTATGAGGGGGTTTACAGCGAGATTAAATGACGAGGCTGTTTGATTGGGCGAAAAAAACAAAAACAAAAAAAAAACCAACCCATAAATGTGTGGAATGTGCACAAAGAGCAAGTAAAAGTATAATTTAATGGTGTTTTTATACCTTTAAATCATTCATGTGTGTTTGTTCAGGTGGGGGTGACACCGCTACTTGCTGCGCCAAGTGGAACACAGAAGACAAAGTCAGCCATGTCAGCACGGGAGGCGGAGCCAGCCTGGAGCTGCTGGAGGGTGTGTGATGGGAGAAGCTGCCCCATGTTCACTCACAGAATAGAAAACACTGTTTTTAACATGTTGAGCCTGACTGAGCATCTCCTCTTTGTGTCCTCAGGTAAAGTCCTGCCAGGTGTGGACGCCCTGAGTAACGCTTAAACCTTCATCAACTGGAGAGCGAGTGTGTACGAGAGGTGGTTAGCTACACAGCCAGACTCCTGTTTACTCCCAGAACATCCCCAGAAGTGAAATAAGACAAATCCCATCTTTACCCTGCAGCCGTTTCATGTTCAGTCTTTGTTTTTGAAGTTGTGACTCAGAGGAGGAAAACGTCACCTCACACCTGCTGTCATTACTAAGTAGAGCGCCCTGCCTTACTTCGACATGCTTCTCAAAGCCACTCTGCTGAAAGTAGGAGCCTTTACTTAACGGTTAGGACAAAAAAGATCAACCTCATCGAGGTGGAAGTCGTTTCTTTCTGCTGAAACACAAACGGCCTCTGCAATGACTGAATCTGGGTTCAAACAGCAACGTCTGCTTCACTGTAAACCTCCGCAGTGGCTCGTGTGTGTAAATGTTTTGCTGCGTCACTTTTGCCTCCCTGGGAACGTCACTGCACCACCCTGAGTGTATATACATGCAAAGTGTATATATATTAAAATGTATGAGAGAAATGGTAACTTGGTGTGTTACATTTTGTCTGTCGGCACTAATGTTTGCTCTGGTCGTCTGTCCTCTGTGGTGGTTGTTGGTTTCGAGCGGCTTCAGACAGATGTCTCGGCTGATCTGTTCAGGCTAATAAAACTGTCTCTGTGTTAAAAACTCTGCTGTGAACGACTCCTCCTTTTGAAGGTGTTACTGTCATAGAAATGCAGCCATTTACTGGTGAAACTGATGACGCGATAAAGCTTATTCTGGGTTATCTGCACTACCAGGAAAGGAAACAAAGTTATTTAACTTTTTGGTGAACATAGGTTAAAAAAAACGGGGTGAAAAATTAAAATAATTATTTTGTGAACTTTTAAAACTGAATAAGTTAGAGCTATTATTGTTTTGTTTTCCATGTTTCCATTATCTAGTAAAGCTCAAATATAAGCATTCAAACTTGCATGGACTTCTATTGATAAAATGTATGCAAAGAGTCTGTATTTAGTGTTGATCCTTCATAATGTCTCCAAATCTCGGTGGCATGCCTGACTTCAGTGTCAGGGTTCAAATCCTGATGGTGAGACACATTTTTGTGGTCTCCTGCTGGTCTACCTGCATTTTATTTTATTTTATTTATTTTTTTTTTTTTGGGTCCTCAAAATGTCCTCAAAAACAAACTTCTTCCAAAGATGTAGGAGTTTATATATTATGAGTAGCTCATGACTTTTAAAGGTTACCCTTATTAACCATAAATAGTAGACTTGAGTCGGCATACAAACTATCATGAGAGTAATAGGGGCTCAAATTCTGGATCAAACAAGTCGTACCAGGTTCGACAGCAAATGTCTCTTTATGATGTAATTTTGATTGCAGGTTGTGCATCACAGTGAACAGGTGATGCTCCCATGTGGTTGGGCTGGAGGTTTGAGAGCCACAATCCTGTACTATTGTGTTTGACCCATAGTCATGTTTTCTTTCATTTAATCAAAGAGCCACTTTAAAAGCTTCTTATTTTTGTTTTCAAATTTAAGAATAACTGTGTGAGATGATGCATGAGCCTGAATTTATGACTTTATAATCAGCTAATCTGACACAGAGCCTGAACCCACCGAGGACTAAGAAGCTGTTGACTCGGAAGTTATTAATGAAGACTTTCACCAACATGTCAAAACAATCCATTAAAGACGAAATGATTTACATGACTCTGGCTTTGTTAAGAAGAAAAACCTCTCTGGCTTTATTATTTACCGCATAGAATCACTGTGTAAACATAATGTACTTGAACACCACGGTTATTATAATGACTAAAAATAGGTTTGAAAAATGTCATTAAATGGAACCAAAATGTTTTTTAAAAAACAAAGTAAAACTGAAACACTGTTGCGTTCTTGCAAAACAAAAATAAAACCAAAAATAAGTTAATCAAATAACTTTATTTTATTAACAATAAAATAAGTTAATTACTACAGAGAGAGACATACTTGGAATCAATCCTTTGTGTTTTTGTTGCACATATAGTTTTGGTGAGAAGTTTACACACAATGATCATAAATGGGCATAAATGTCATGGGAATGTCTTTGATCTTTTTCCAGATTGTACAGCATACATGTTAATCTTTTGGATTTTCTTTATTCCACACAGAGTCAGAAGTATACATACAAACTGAAATACATACATATACTCAAATATTTAAAAAAACCTCAAACTTGTGTTCCAGCAGGACAATGATCCCAAACACACATGAGAACTGATTTCAGAATAGGATAGAGCAGGCTAACAAAGCTTCTGGGATGGCCTTCCCAAAGTCCCGACTTCAGCCCTATTGGAAATTTGTGGACTGTGCTTAAACGTCAGGTCCGTGCCTGTGCCAGGAAACCAATCAGTTTAAATGAACTCTACCAATACTGCCAAGAAGAGTAATCAAATATCCAGGAAATGTATTCCAGAAGCTTACCAATGGATATTTAACCAAAGATTAGTGGAAGTGTATGTATATATTTGAGCCGGATTAGAGAAAATCCAAAATAGATTCAAACTTGTGCACCCAGTTTTCTAAAGTCATTAAAGATGTTGTACAATCATTCCACCCTGGAAAAAGATCAGTTCAGAGAAATCATTGAAAGCCCCAAAATACCATGACCTCATACCATGATGAGAGTATGTAAACTTCTGACCACAACTATATTATTGCATGTATATAATTTAATAAAGTCTACTTCCTCTGTAATACATTATACTTTTTTCACAGGGATCAGTGTCATAAATTTGAAAAAATTCTAGAATATGAGCAGAAAAAGCAAATAATAGCCCATGTGTGGTCAGTTTCAGTTAATTTTATCATGTTTTTTTTTATCATTTTCATCACTCATTTTTTTACATATACAAACTGGATTAAAAAATGGAAACCTTTTTTTTTTTTTTAAGAAAAAGGTTTTTATCAAAGATAAAAAAAAAACAAAAAAAACACAAATTTGTTTACACTATATTTAAATTGATTTATTTCACCACCAGGTGGCAGACTTGGTTTTCACTTTCAGTGTCCAAAAGCATCTGTGCATGTTATTTGCACATCAGTCAGACAGACATTTTTAAAGTAGCAGTTTTCAGCTTCAGTTTTCCACCAGATAACTTGCAGAGCTGTCCAGGATGGTCACATCTTCTCACCGATGCTTCTTTCAACATCTTGATTTTCGTAATCTGCCTCATCTGTAAAACATGTGCATAAGTGGTTAATGATGAAAACACGTCCAGACCATTGAGCAACTTAACAGCATGAATTTAAACAGAAGAATCTAAAAACTGGGCATCCTAAAAAGTTGTTTCTGTTCATCTGATCGCAGCGTTTTCAGTGGGAGAAATGTTTCATCATTCATCCCAGTGACTTCAGTTCAGTTCAATTTGATTTATACAGCACCAAATTACAACAACAGTCGCCTCAAGGCGTTTTACATTGTAAGGTAGACCTTACAATAATGCATACAGAGAAAAACCCAACAATCATATGACCCTCTATGAGCAAGCGCTTTGGCAACAGTGGGAAGGAAAAACTACCTTTTAACAGGAAGGAACCTCCTGCAGGACTGGCCATCGGCCTGTAGCAGCAGATGCGACTGCCCCATCTGCCAGGGCCACGTGACTTCTTCAGTCTCAACTGACTGCAGGTTTACCCAACCTTATAAACAGTACATTTGCATAATGACTGAAACTAGCACCACTGAGAAACTAGGCTGTGAGGTCAACTAAAACCTGGGCAGCTCTGCTTAAGCACAGCTGAAATCAGGCCTTTAAATGAATGTTTTCACAGTCACTGTACTGTGGAAAAGTCTTAAGCCACGCTTATATATTTTTTTTCCCAAGGAGCCACATTTCTTATTTTTGAAAGTGGTCTTAAGCAATAGTTTTCCAGGCTTTCTGATGGTCTTCATCAGTTGTGGCACTTATTTCCCATTTTCCTGACAAAATATAAAGAAATGAAAGGTAGCACAAGACTTTTTCACCGTGCTCTTTGTTCCTCTGTTGCATTTAAATCATATATCTGAGTGCTTGAGATTTCCAAGCAGCTGCTGTAACATGTTGGCTGTTACTGTATAAAGCAAATGCCCCAGGTAGTCAGTAATATGGCACCACATTTACTGTTGGTTGAAAGCTGTGTGAAGTAATATAGTGAGGCAGCCAATTAGACGTTCACAGGACTCTGGAACCTATAAGCATCCTCAGTGGGCCATTTTCTGTTAGTGCTCCTGTGATGTTATCAGCCAGAAAAGTTATATATGGCAGTATTTTGGTCTTGTGGTTACACTGGGTGAGTATGCAAATAAAGACGTCCAATGCCATATAAGTGCTACTACTTATATGGCGTTAAAATAACTACATCTTTTATGGTATTTAATCAGCGGGAAACACTCTGGGTTCCCCAAAATGCCCTGCTCACGTCATCTGGTTGATGTTACTTGACGTCAGTGTTGCTGAGCTTTCGTTTGAAACTGTTATGAATACAAATTATTGCGTGGAATAACTTTTAGTGGCAGCTATGTGTGCTCACCTTGTGATGAATCATTTGGAGAGGTACCCGCTGCCGGTGCTTCTGTCTTTTTCTGTACATCTGAAATTAAGGGCCATGTTTCAGGGTGTTAAGTTGTGATTTTAATCATTGAAGCTCTGTGAAAAAGTCTTGAGTGAACCCTTCTAAGGAGCTAGACTGTCCTCAAATTTTTAAAAAAAGGTGTTGCATAATAGTTCCTCTGTCTTTCTAAAAGGTCGTTAAAAGTTTGTTGTTTTTTTATATTTGCTGCTTTTTTGAGTCAGTTCAGTCCAGTGCTTGTACCTGATGATTTTCAGATGAATGTTTAGTTTGTTTGTCTGTTAAAACATTTAAAACTGACCTGAATCTTTCAAGCATTAATAAACACCTAACTCAAAATATAACCAGTGTTGTGTCTTCACATAACAGAGAAGTTATCAAAGAAACCACTTTAAAATGCATCTTCGGAAGCCAGCAACCTGTCACAAAAAAACTTTGGTGTTGTGATTATTTGATATTCACACGAGAGACCCCAGTTCAACTGATGCAAATGACATAATTTATTAAATAAAAATAGTTATTTCACCAGGTTAAACAGCTTCTCTTTCAGTTTGAAGCTTACAGGGAGGTTGTTTAAAAGCTTGTGGACACGGTTTATAGCACACAAAGGGACCTTTTGTCCCTGATGAAAAAGACGGCTAAAATACCAACCAACAGTCGCTGCAGTGGTGTGGTTTGGTTAAAGTGAGACACTACAATGACTGGTTTTTACGGAGCCCCTCTGATGACATGGTCCAAAAAAATAAATAAATTGTGGCCACAAAATACTACTTCGTGGGCACGAAATAGGTATAACGTGCCCACGAAATGCTATTTTGTGGGAACGAAACACTTGACCGTGATCCTTCCCAGGCCCTTGCAGTTGGTTGACAATAAAATCTATCCCAGCGTCCGGGTCGTACTTACGTCTGCAAAGCAACTGGGCTCTCAATATCCTGTTTAAATGTCTCTCTGGAATAATGGTTCCTTGCAGTGCCAGGCTTTTCAAAATGCATTTGTAGCTCATTCCCAGCCTAAAATTGTCAGGGATCTGAGTCTGAGTGACCTAGAGTCCCTGAACAATTGTAGACTACTTATTTATTTTTTGGACCA